CCCGAGGCACCGTAACCGCCTAGCTGCGGCAGAAGCAACTTTCCTGTGCACGTGCATAACCACCCCAACTGCGTCACGGCACGTGACCAGCCGTTGCAGCGTCGCTTCCTGCCTTGCCCTCACGCCACCCGTCTGCCATCTGCCGGCCAGGCCTCCCAAATTTCTCTTCATCCCTCTCCTATTCACCTGCCCAGACTTGTCCTCCCCACCAGCCATGTCGCTATCTCTGGGCCGGTGTCTTGGTGTCTCGCCCACCTGCTCCAGTCGAGTATAGCACCGCTGGGCTATTACCACCCTACTACCCTTGCCTCCATTACTTACCTTCGATCATGACCAGGGTCCCTTCCGTCCCACATTTGATAAGCATTGTGTGGGATTCCCATCAGCAGAGCAAACGGGTGCATTCTCCGGCATGCCGTGAATGCTTCGTCTAATACGCCGCCATGCCTCCCACACTATCCCCAATTACCGATACCGACAGAACGGTAACCTTTGGCCCCGGTCGCGTGCCTGCATTCTGCATCTTAGTCCGCTGCTTAACGTCAAGCTCTTATCACGCCCTGTATACAGCTACTGCCCTCAATCGCCGCTCTGCTGCCAGAAGCATAACCCCACCAAGGAATGACATCCCCAACGAATGTAGCTTCGAAGGAAGCTTCCTGGAAGCCAATACAATATGCAATCACGTATGCTGAGCGGGAAAACGCCAAAATAGGCTTCTCGTTAATACATGTGCAATCTAAAATATACCCTGGCCCGTTTCATTTCTTGGGTTTCTCCATCTTTCAAATCTCAACAAAGTGGATACCTGCTCACGTCAACATCCCTACGTGTAGCGACGTTCGGACAGGCCCGTACCTACAAGCACACAGCGCTTACTCGATCCACGTGTTTCGGTCAAGAGTGAAAAACTCCATGCAAATACAGCTAGAGTCAATCGGGTTCACTGCGTCCAATCGTCTATTGGTGTGGCCGTCTATTGTGCCTTGGTAGAATTCTCGGAATTGAATGGCGCCTGTGCTCTTTCGCAATAGGCTGACGCACAAAAAGGCAACTCTACCCATAAGCCAATAGGCAAGCACTGCAACCAAACCTCCTTTCTGGATACCATTAGTACCTCTTGGGGACCGAAATAGATGGACAAAGACCTAATTATGTCCAACATTCGGTCCAAATTACAGCTTGGATTACTACAAAGGGCATTGTAGCCTTGATAAACCATCTAGAACTCCGCCGAAGTGGGGAATCTTTTGATTAGGTACTTGTAGTATCTAGGTAGTGCGTGGTGTTAGCTTAATTGCGCAATTGCAGTGTTGTGGAAGGGGCAGTTTTGATTCAGCTATTTCAGTCCCCCGAGAGGTACACCTGCTATGACAAAAAGTCTCTAAAGGCCTTCACAATTGTCTTTTCTCGGGTGCTCCGGATGTCGCTGCAAGATATTTGTGGACCAAATCGTCATATATGGGGTTGGCACGACCTTAACACGAGGAACATGGCTTCTGCGGTGGTCGCCTCAAATAAGTCGTATCTTGGTCGCCGACCTCGTATGATGCTCCACTGAATTTCACTACACTCGTCCAGTTCCACTTGTACGTGCTCATCTTGAGATCTGGGCTGGCTTTCTTGTGAAAAACTTGAGTCGATGGCTCCAGATATCACATGCTCAGGTTTCGGACTGTTATCAAGGTGGTGCTCAGGCAAGGAAATGACGAAGACCATGGATAAAGACCACAGTTGACATGGCGCTTGCTAGGCGCTAGGTATATCACGGCTGGTGGAAAACTTTTTCTATGAACTTCACGGCCCGTCGCGCACTACGCCACACAGCTTTAATTCTTAGAGCAATGCTTAGCGGAATCTTCAACGACAATCATACCCACATAGCAGCGCTAACACGACTTGTACACCACAAAAATGTATTTTACCGCGGCGTTGCCGCTTGATTGCGCGCCTGAGGTCATCATAAAGATGGACCTACTTATCGAGCATCGAAATATACGGGGCAAAGAGTCAAATGTACCAATCATGATGTGGAACAAGAAAGACTATAACCCAACAGTGTCCCTCTTCGTGCACACATATGCACCTGAGAGTATTGATTGTTCTTAGGCCGTCATTGAAGGGCCAGTCAGAAGATGTCGACTTGTATAGCTGGCTGCCTAAGGCAGACCAGTGTTTGACGCCTGCAAGGATGGTACAAGGAGAGCATATATAAGAGATTGGAAACGCACTCGGGATAACCATAAATTCACCGCTCTAGCATTTGCAACACCCAAGTGCTACCAAGATGCGCTTTATTTTTACCATGTCCGTTGGCCTTTTAGCTAGCGTTGGACTGTGCAGAGTGGCGCTACGCAAATCTGTTGAAAGGCCCATGTGAGTATTTTCCAAGTCTCGTCAGTAGTGTTGACTGATCTTATATCAACAGTGTCGCACACTACATGGTCGGCGGTGTTCAAGAGAAAGATGTTATCCAGGATATCAAGGATGCGAAAAGCATTGGTCTTGACGGCTTCGCGCTGAACTATGGTATGAATTGTTGGCATCATTCTTCTCGTTGGCATCTCTAACTGAATCAAGACCAGTTTGAATGGTGGTCTAATGACACTATCAACTTCATGTTCAACCATGCAGACGAATTGGGCGACTTCAGTCTCTTCTTTTCATTTGATCACGGCAAAGGAATCTTGAAAGACCCTCTTGAATACGCTACCTATTTCACCACATACAGCGGCCGTCCCTCGTACCTCAAGATGAAGGATCGAAACGGCGATGCTCGGAAGCCTGTCCTGTCCACTTTCGGTGGCGAGAATATCAGCAACGACAGATGGAACCAGTTCAAAAGGACAGTAGGCGATGTGCTGATCATACCCGGCTTCTCTGAGGTCTACAACCCTACTACCAACTTCTTCCAGAGTCGCAGTGCTCTCGACGGTGTGTTCAACTGGAACTCCTGGCCCACCGTTCAAGAGGGCAGGGTTGCCGTATCAGCAGCAGTAGACCGTACCTTCCAGACCGCCGCAAAGAACGCGAACAAGTACTTCATGATGGGCATTTCTCCTCTCCAATTCAAACACGCCAGCTACGGTAACTGGTACCGCCGCGGCGAAGACAACCTCGAGAACCGCATCGGCCAGATTCTAGACGTCCAGCCCGACATGGTGCAGCTGCAGACGTGGAACGATGGCGGAGAAAGTCACTACATGGGCCACCTCCACCCAGAACCGCTGGACAACCGAACAAAAGCTCTGACTGACGGCTATGACCACACTGGCTACTGGCAGATTCTTCCCTCCTTCATCAACGCGTGGAGGAGGGGCGACACGTCGACTGCCAACATGTACCCTACCAATGGCAAACCCGTCCAAGGCACGTTCTGGCACCACACCCTGACCATTGGCGGTTCGTGCTACGCCGACGACACCGCCAAGCCAGACAGCATCGTAACTGGCGGTGAGGACGCGGTATCCGGTGTTCTCCTCGTAGCACAAAACAAGCAGGGTCTCAAAGCTGAGGTTAAAGTCGGCAATGTTCGATTGGGCAACGTCGTTTCCCTCTCGCCGGGATTCAACAAGTTTAAGATTACTGGACTGGAGAAGCTGGTTCCTGGGAAGGTGCAGGTTGAGGTGTGGGATGGAAGTATGATGGTTGGGGGCGGGTATGGTAGTATTGAAGTTACAGAGGACAAGCCGCTTTGTAACTACAACTTTGAAGTTGTTGGTCTGCCTTCTTAAATCGTTAGAAGATTAGTATCAGCACAGGATTTGGGAAAAGCTCGGCACTCGATCAATAGTAATGGTACGATGAATACACTTGAATCTTTTGTCGTTCTTTTTGTGCCTATCAACTTGATGATTTCCTCTTCCCCTACACAGATACTTTTACATTTCTTTCATTCCCCCCCCCTTCTTCACCCATCACACTACGTCCTCTCACCCAACCCCTCCTTTCCCCCCTTCACCTGCTCCCCACCCCCAATCCCCGTCGTCCTCTCCGGCTGCGCCTGAAAGTCGGGCTGTTTCGCCGGATGCTCATCCCCTTGCTTGCCCTCATCGCGCGAAGCACTCGACTGCTGATCTGTATGCTGACTATCCGACCGCACTTTGGCATTTGGAGCTGCACTCGAGTTGGGATGCGGGTCCGGGATGTTGGAGGCGGGGTTGGAAGTGTCCATTAGTTTTTTGTTGGGACAAGACGTGGAGAAGGCTTTTGCAAGAGGGAAGGTAGCACGTGAGGTCTGGAAGAGCCTGTGTTGGAGGCGCGTGGATTGGCGTAGTGTGCGGAGCGTGGTTTGCAGGGACATGGCTGGTAGTGATGTTGGGTCGTTTTCCAAAGTCGAATGCGGTGTGGGTTATTGGGTAGATGCTTGTTGAGAGATGAGGATGTTCGTTGTTTTGTAGCAAGGAAAACTCTCTTCAAGTATTGATAGGCTATGGATTTGCATGAGCGAGTAGTTACGTTTGTGTAGCTCTTCTTGACAATGTCTCTCTGACATCATTCTGACCGCGTCAATTCACTGCCGAGGCGTTTTTCTCTAGAATCTCCCGACATAGGCCGTCGATCACTCTGAGCATTTGGTGTTCTGGATTTACAGCCCTGCGAACCACACACATAGTCTACAAGACCAGCTGGTGTGATGTGTGTGTATGCGAGCGAGTGTGGCTGCTGTAAGCATAAGCTTTAGGCGGTCGTAGCTGCAGCAAACAGCAACATGCATTAGCGGCCTGGTTTCCATACCGAGTCTATCCCCCATGCGGTTACCGTGCGCCTATCCTGCCCGTATTCTCTGCTCTTGCGTCTTTTCGCGCAGGCCATGTCAGCCCAAGCCAGCACAAAGCCCGAAAGGGCATCTCGAGCAGTCACAGAATACAGCCAAGTCACTCTCATTTGCACACACAACCTTGCTCCATTTTTTTCCCTTTTCTTCTTTCTCCTCTTCTTGATTCCTCAAATTGCCTGATCCGTTTTTTTCGTTAGCGGGCCCTCCACCAAAATCAATCATGCCCGAGTTTGTGCTCTTTGGTGATTCGCTCACTGAGTGGGGCTTTAGCGAGACTACTCAGGGCTTCGGCCGTTTTCTTCAGCAAAAGTACCAGTACAAGGTGGGGATCGTGAATGAAGGTAGGCTCAGGTGCGAATTCTAGCAACCATCGTCGATCAAGGTATTGCGCCATGGGGTTTGTTGGCGTATACCTGACGTCCAGCCCGCATCAAGAGTCTTGTATCCTCTCCTAATCATATTATATACTGACCATGTCGCAACAGGTAGAGCAGGGTATGCCCATCCACAACATGCCAGGAATTTCTTCACAGTACTCCGAGCATTAATCCATCACACAGCTACACAAGCTCCGACCTGCAAGATGACTTTGCCCGCATAATACGCAGCACAACAGCTTCAGGCGCAACGCAGACTCTCCTCTTTACCATCTTCCTCGGCGCAAACGACGCCTGTATCGGCTTGCAAGGCGCCGAGTATGTACCATGGCCCGTCTTCTCTGAGAATATCCGCGGCTTCCTCGACACTATCCTCACAGAGCAGGCCATGGACAATACCAAAATCGTTCTCATCACGCCACCGCCAATTAACAGTCAGGTTGAGGCTATCAGCAAAAACATGTCCAAGGCGGAGGTCGAGCAGGAAAATTGCAAGAGGAAGCAAATGCTCGGGTATAGGACGTACATGAACAAGAAGCGGTACGCCGAGGGAGTGATGAAGATTGCAAAAGAGTACGAGGAGACGCAGAGGGTGGTGGGGTTGAACTTTTGGCAGGACATTGTGGATGCGCTGGCAAAGGAGGAGGGATGGGAGTACAACGCCGAATTGCCGCCGGGCTGCGGCTTACTTGGCTCAAAGTCGTTTCCAAAGGGATGGTTTACCGATGGGTTGCATTTGGATGTCAAGGGCTACGCGGTATTGAACAAGGGGCTGTTCAACCTTGTGATTGAGAAATGGCCCGAATTGGCACCTGAGAAGCTATAGACAAGCACTGGATTCTTGGTGTTCTCTCTTTTTTCTCTCTCTCTTTTCATTCAACTATTTGGTGGCCTTTCTATCCATGATCAACCTCTGTTCAATGTGTTTCCTGAGCCCTTGGGATTCGCCTCTACATATTCGTCCCATGCACGTTGCTTCATCGTCTCAGCATCCGCTGCATCAAGATCATCCTCATTCGGCTCTGGTTGGATTGCAGACTGTGGACCTCCACCCTCGATTATGCCACCCCTCTTCCTCTCTTCCTCTAGATACTCGTCAATCGTCATGGTTGGTAGGTTGTGATCGGGGCGGAAGACGCCCTTCTTCAGGGTTTGGCGGCTATCCAATAGCGTAAACGGCCGCATGGGTTTACCATCGCTACTCAAGATGGGCCCAGAGTACCTCAACCCAGCATACTGACCATCTAGGCGTTCGGAATAGCCGTCTTTGCCTCTGCTGTCTTGCCGGGCATCAGGTACTTGCTGATCCTGGCCTGGCGGTGGCGCAGGTGGTGCTAGCGAGATAATGTGAAGTTCCTGCGCCATTGACTCGAGTGAAGCAAAGGTCTGATGGACCATGAATGCCAGATCAGTCAGGTGTAGATCTCGTACCACCTGCTCATCTTGCTCTGCCAGTTTGGGATTTTGTCGTAGATACTGTAGTCGCGCAGTTAGCCTCTCACACATTCCCTATACAAAAACAGTTAAGCATAAGGTAGATTTTACCTCAAGTTTCCTCTTGAGCTCCTTCTCCTCTTTAAACCGGGCAATTTTCACGTCTCGTCTTGCTGCTGCATCCCGCGTGTTGGCAGTAGAGAAATTATTTTTGTTTTCATTGTAGGCTTCGAGAAGTTTCGTATCCGCTTTGCCAAGCATATCGTAGGAATCTAGCAACTTCAGAAACCGCTCATAGTAACCCCGAGCACGTAGAAGGTTTGACTTTCTGAGCGAGACATCGGTGTTTGAAATTTTCTGCACGAGTTCGGCTAGATGGTAGTTTATCGCTAGGTATCTGGTTGGTTTGTAAGCATGGTGTTCGTTCTTGTGAAAGATGTGGAAATCCAGCAATGTGTATCAATAAGATTTAACATACTGTAAATCGGTTGACGATATGTCTTCAAGAGACTCGTTTGGGCTGAACAGCGACACTTGTTCTGCGATCTTGAGACATTCTTCATAAGTGGCAATGGTCGTGCCGAGCTTTTCCTGGAAGGTGGGACTGTTTGGCTCGTAAGAAGATGAAAGTTCTTCGCGGGCCTTCTCGGCTTTGAAGAAGAGCCCTCGCAGACTCAGTGGTTCTTCTGACATTTTGTGGAGATTGAGTGTTAGAGTTGTGCTGACGATGAGGAAGTTTCGATACGTAGCCACGTGAGAGCGTGAAATGGTGTTGAGTCAGCACGGTCCTCCGAGTTGAGCATCGCGTACCCCGCCATCCCCGTAAATCGACCGCCCACTTCGAAGTATTCACTCTTAGATTGATGATGCGCCCATTTCGGTGTGCGAAAATGAAGCTGACCGCCTGTTCCAATGCACAGACCAAAATGGTGTAACATGCTTGGGTGTGGTCACGGGCGAGTGCGTTGTTTGCTGATTGGCAAGGCTTGCATGCAGTCGCGCAAATAGCAGCGACCTCTTACCTTCACTCACCAACCCACTTAAGCGAAACACTTCCACTATTTGCTTCTTTCACGGCAACCGTGACAATTCAGACACCTAGAGTGCATCCCAACTACTACAATGGTATGGATTGAAATCGAAGAGGAGCAGGAGGATTACCTCCTATCTGAGGAGAATCTCATCCGCACCATATCTATCCAAGATGACGAGATTGAGCAGTCCACGCAACGTGATGGTGAATTGGACGAAGATTCCGATGTCGAAGCCGACAATGCGCGTAGTCACGGTCCTGCGACAAGCATAGAGAAACGCAGAGCGCAGAACAGTATCATGAAAGCCTTTGCTACTAATATCAGTGCAGTCTTGACGCAGCGAGAGGTTGAAGATGCAGCTGCAAAAAGCGCCAAAGAAGAGCAACTCTCGATTCGCGACATTCTTGCGAATCAAGAAACAACAGTCCGTATCACTAACCCGCGCGACTATCAGACTGAGCTGTTCCAGAGAGCGAAGTCTGAGAATGTGATTGCAGTACTGGATACCGGTTCCGGGAAAACACATATTGCAACTCTTCTATTGCGACATGTCCTGGACATGGAGCTTGACCACCGGGCGAGAGGTGGCACTCCAAAAATGGCCTTCTTTCTTGTAGGTCCATCAACTCAATTTAAACAAACGCAGCTGACACTTCCAGGTCGACTCAGTCAACCTCGTTTTCCAACAAGCAAACGTCCTACGCTGTGGTCTCGATCAAAACGTGGAAGGAATATGTGGTTCAATGGGCGCATCACTATGGTCAAAGTCGACTTGGCAGAGCTACTTTGATAAGAACATGGCCATAGTCTGTACAGCAGAGGTCCTCGTTCAGTGCATGATGCATTCTTTCATCACCATGTCCCAGATAAATCTCCTCATCTTCGACGAGGCTCACCACGCCAAAAGCAACCACCCGTACGCCCGTCTGATGAAGGACTATTACCTCCAAGAGACGAACGTTTCTCAACGACCCCGCATTTTCGGCATGACAGCCTCTCCTGTTGATACGAAGGGACTGTCAGCAGACCATATCAAAGAAGCTGCTAGGAATCTAGAAAAGCTGCTTCATTCCAAAATTGCCACCACTGCCGAGAGCACACTTGCTTCAAACAGCATCAGCCGACCAGATGAAGAAGTCGCAATGTATCCTCGCTTGCAGGAAGAGTACGAGACGCCATTACATCAAAAGATCAAAGCTAAGTTCGGAGATATAAGGGCTTTTGGCAAGTACTTTCTCGCATCAAAGCGCCATGGTAGAGAACTTGGACGCTGGGCTTCTGATATGTACTGGTCTTTCGTCTTTACCGAAGAGCAAAGTCGCAAATTGGAGCAGCGGGAACGTCTTAAACACTCCAAAAATCGGCCAGACGAAATCAAAGAGTGGGATGCCAAGGTGAAGCGCTTGCAAGAGGCAGCTGAGTTTGTTCAGCAACTCAATTTCGGCGCGTGCTCTCTGAGTAACCAGGATGTGAGCTCCAAAGTCCAGAAACTTCATTACTGGCTCAACCTGTATTACGAACGCAGCGACGAGGCTCGATGCATCGTCTTCGTTGAACAGCGACAGACAGCGCGGTTGTTACAGCTCATTTTCTCACAGATTGGCGGCCCGCACCTCCGGTGTAGTGTACTGGTTGGTATCAACACCCGTGAGCATGAGCAAAACATATCTCTCCGCAATCAGATTCTCACTGTGGCCAAGTTCCGACGTGGAGAGCTGAATTGCCTCTTTGCCACTTCTGTCGCTGAGGAAGGCCTTGACATCCCTCAATGCAACTTGGTCGTCAGATTCGATCTCTATCATACTATGATTGCATATGTACAGTCTCGTGGCCGCGCAAGGCATCGAAACTCGAAGTATCTGCACATGATTGAAGAGGGTAACCATGATCACCGCGAGCGAGTCATGGACGTCAAACTTGATGAGCAAGTCATGAGGCGGTTCTGCAGAGAGCTTCCGCAAGATCGTCACATCGATGAGTACGACAATGAAAGCATGGATCTTTTGACATTTGAGGATCAGTTGTATCCGAGCTTCATCACCAAACTCGGTGCAAAGCTCTCATTCCGTTCGAGTTTGGCTATTCTCAATCATTTCGTCGCAACCCTGCCGGGACCTGACAGACAAACTATGCTACAGCCCACATACGTGGTCTGCCCTGATCTCAACTATGACGGTCGGGATCCTCAACGAAGAGGCTTCGTATCGGAAGTGATACTCCCAGAACACTCACCAGTCAACACAACAATTGGTGATGTGCAGAGCAAAAAGGCAATCGCTAAGTGTTCTGCAGCGTACAAGGCGTGTCTCGAGCTCTACAAAAAGGGTTATTTGGATGACAACTTACTACCAACAACCATCAAGCGATTGCCAGCTGGAAGGAATGCCTTGCTAGCACTCGGTGAGAAGAAGAAAGGTAGGTATCCCATGCTTATCAAACCAGAGTTTTGGCAAGCAGGAAGAGGTTTGGTCCCTGCCAGTCTCTTTCTCACGGTTGTTGATCTTGATGCTGGTCTCGATCGACCTCATCAACCTCTGGGCTTTCTTACCCGGAATCAGCTCCCCAAATTGCCTGAATTTCCAATCTACCTCATGGATGGTAGGCCTTCCAACATTGTTTCTCGGTCTTCTATGGTATCGTTTCACGTGCCTGCAGATATGCTGGAAAAAGTTACAGTGTTCACCTTGCGCATATACAAAGACATATACAACAAGGAGTTCGAAAAGAATGCTCGGAACATGTCTTACTGGGTTGTTCCAGTACATCCGGATCGAGCATCTTTTATTTCTTCCGTGACTACCCTCGACCAGATTTTGGACATGGATCAATTGCGCAGAGTTTACCACGAACCAACATGGAGATGGACGGCTGATACTAAACCTGAGGATCTTATTAACCGCTACTTTGTAGATCCAGGAAATGGAGGTCGGCGCTACTACTCCGAACGTTTTGCGCCTCACCTCAAACCACAAGATCCTGTCCCCAGAGGCCTTGCTCGCCAAGGCCATAAATTCATGAGCTGTATTCTAGACTACAGCGATAGCACATGGACAAGAAGTAGGAATATCTCGAAATGGAACCAATCACAACCTGTTCTTCAAGCCGAAAAGATCCCTTTGCGTCGAAATCAGCTTGCGCGTATCGAGGACAAGGAGAAGGGAGAGTTGGATGACCTCAAGGCATACATTTGTCCAGAGCCTTTTCATATATCCAATGTAAGTTTGGAGTTACTCTCATTTCTAAGCATTCAAACTATTAATACTAACAACCCAGCTTGCGACACCATTCGTAGTCATGTGCTATGTGTTGCCGGCTATTATCCACCGCTTCGAGAGCTACCTCATCGCATTGGAAGCTT